GGTTGTCTCTGCGAATGGTTGTTTGCTTGCAGGTGATTTATGATTGACTAGATAACATCATTGGAGCACTGGTAATGTTAACTACTCAGATACTGAAATGTTTGCAAGCAAAACAACCAAGCTCAGAGAGCACCAATGACACCACATGCTTTATTTTGGCAAAGAATCAAGGTTGTTTTTGAACCTTCTTCCCTCACCTTCCTATCAGAACCTTCTGTCCAAGCCTTGTGTCCAGAATGAGGTAAAGATAACAGATTAACAGAGTTGGAGGGGACCTTGTAGGTCATCCAACCCCCTGCTCAAGCAGGAGACCCTACACCATTTCTGACAAATGGCAGTCCAATCTTTTCTTGAAAGCCTCTAGTGATGAAGCTCCCACAACTTCCGAAGGCAACTTCTCTTCCATGGGTTGATTGTTCTCACTGTCAGAAAATTCCTCCTTATTTCCAGGTTAAATCTTTCCTTATCCAGTTTCCATCTGTTATTCCTTGTCTGGCCTTTGGGTGCCTTGGAAAATAGCTTGACACCCTCCTCTCTGTGGCAGCCCCTCAAATATTGGAAGACTGCTATCATGTCTCCCCTGGTCCTTCTCTTCACTAGACTAGCCATGCCCAGTTCCTGCAACCATTCATCATATGTTTTAGCTTCCAGCCTCATCATCTTGGTTGCTCTTCTCTGTACTCTTTCTAGAGTCTCAACATCTTTTTCATAGTGTGGTGACCTCTCCTAAGTCCAAGGTCTCCTTGGGTTTACGAGAGGGCATACCAGAGAAGTTGGAGGCATTTTTTCTGTAATAACTTGTCAATGAATGGGGTAAACTAGGCTGCAGGAATTGAGTTGGCATCCTGTTCCCTCCACGATGCATGCCAACATATTTGATAAGGGAGCAGCACCTTCTCCAGAATGAAACAGAGCAAAGCACCATGGTCATTCCAGCTTGCTTTTGGATGTGTAGGACAACATTATTAATGGGACAGTGTTTAGGGAGAGCTTTACCTGAACCTTCCTCAAAATGAAGCACATCTTTGAAAATTTGCACTGTCCTATGAATATCCACCCCTCTCTCTGACTCTCTCCATCCAAATCTTTGGTTATTTTGGCCAGACATCTCTTTTACAAAAAGGCAGACTTTTATGGCTTCCTTTAATGTGATTGTTACATTTTTGATTAGCTGTTGTGTGATTATTTAAAAGGATACATATGCTGCTCTCTTTCAAACACTTTTGAAGCAGTTTGGCACGGAAGATCACAAAACATTTTGAAATTGGCACTAGGAAAAAAAAAATCTAAAATGGATAGGATTACATTGCAAAGTTGGAAACCTACAGAAGTGTTGAATAGAGGAAGTGTGAAGTTTCCTCCCCAAATCACTTGTTTTCTCCCCAAATCACTCCCCCAAAACATTTGGGTCTCAATGCCTGGTGGAAGAAAAAAACAGGTCCCAGGGCCACCTGTATCCCTAGGAGAAGGTAGTTCCATAAGGTAGATGCTATAGTTCTTAGGACCCACCAGACGGCAGTTCTTCACTGAGAATATCTGGGGATAAATACTTTAAATATAGAAGCTAAAATTCTATAACTGGTCACTGTGGGCAAAATACATTCAGTACGTATATCAAAGAATTCCAGGAAAGAATACATAATATAAACATTTATTTATATAAAATGACAGTTTTTAAACATTTTGACATTGAAAGGAATCTTGCTCTGAATCATTTTCTTTTTTCGTTTAAAAGCAGCATGGTAGCAGCTGGTGTTCCCCAAAAGTGGCAGTGCTCCCCGTATCTTCCATCTGATTCTGTCAATTGTGCCCACTCAATGTTTCCTGCTGTGGCTTGAAAAAAAGAGAAAAAGAGAAAAAAACAAAACAAAACCCGGTCTGGTCATTCAATAGAGATATTTAAGTATTTCTCCCATTTTAATGACTCTGTAAGTGGGGCAGAATGCTTCAAGAGGCTTAAAGATAAAGCAGTCATTATAGAGTTTTTTTTTTTTAAAAAGAAAACTATATCTAAGTGAATTCCATTTATTTCTGATGCTTATAAAACTCACCATTAATTGCATTCATTTGGACTCGGAAGGAATTCCTACTGCATTCAAGGGAGCTTATTTTTCATCGTACAACCGAAACCATAGCTAAGGAGGAGGGGAACCAAGTACCATTGGCCTCCATCTGAAGTCCTCCTAATCTCTAGGAATGACACAGGTGGTCCTCGATTTACGACCACAATTGAGCCCAGAATTTATGTTGTTAAGTAAGGAATGTATTAAGTGAGTTTTGACCCATTTTATGTCTTTTCTTGCCATATTTGTTAAGTGAGTCACTGCAGTTGTTAAATTAGTAACACGGTTGTTAAGTGAATCTGGCCTTCCCCATTGCTTGTCAGAAGGTCACAAAAGAGAGTCACCTGACCCTGTGACATTGCAACCGTCATAAGTATGAATCCGTTGTCAACCATCCGAATGTAAGTCACATGACCAGGGGGATGCTGCAACGGTCATATGTGTTGAAAAATGATCATAAATCCCTTTTTTCAGTCTCATTGTAACTTTGGATGGTCACTAAATGAACTGTTGTAAGTCAAGGACTACCTGTATACCCAAAACATGACTCTTTTATTTTATTTTCAAGTGCTGGAGGAAGGTTAGGGATAGAAGCTTTAATCAACTTTTCATGTCTTAAAACACCTGAACTCACCACAGTGTTGGAATCATAAACTGCACTCACTCACTTTTGGAGTGTAGCTCTTGATCTCTTGGACTAAGCTTAGTGCTTAATAGCAATAGGACTTAGACTTATATAGCGCTTCACGGTGCTTTACAGCCCTCTCTAAGTGGTTTACAGAGTCAGCCTCTTGCCCCCAACAATCTGGGTCCTCATTTTACTGACCTCAGAAGGATGGAAGACTGAGTCAACCTTGAGCTGGTGGGGATTGAACTGCAAGCAGCCGGCAGTCAGCAGAAGTAGCCTGAAGTACTGCATTCTAACCAGTGCATCACTGTGGCACTAAGACAAAGAACCTGGGGATCCCTATGCTAAGATATACAAAAGTGATTTAATGTTGCTTATGAGAATTATGCATATACAATTCATCTGTATGGAAAAAGCCAATCTAAGGAAATATTTCTCTTTCTCTTAAATATTCTAACTTTCAATGTTCGGTTATTTTGCTCTATGAGTTATTCTGTTCCTGATCATTGCCATTGATATTTACATGCCACGTGAATTTTATCAACCGGCTTTTATTGTTTTTTTTAAATTCAGTTATGTCAAACCAGCTAATGAAATACTGAAAACTGTTATCTAAGAAATTTAATTTTAGGATGCATGTAAATTCTGTTGATTCATTTTGACTCCCCCCCCTTTTTTTTTCCTCCCTCCCCATTCTCAAAAAGTTAAATGCCAATAGTAATAAGTATAATAGCAGGAGAAAAATATATATTATATATATACTTATATATATATAACTATAATAGCAGGAGAAAAAGAAGAAAAAGGAGAAGATGAAGTAGAAACAACAATTTTATAATTTTAGAAAGCAGATTTTTAGAGCCTAAGATTATCTAGTGCTCAGTCATCATGACAGAGATGGGTATGGGATTTGTCTAAAACTAGGGTTGCCAGGTCTGCTTCCAAAAAATAGCGGACAAGCGGGGGGAGGGGGTGTTAAGTAGTAAAAAAATTAAAAAAAATTTACAATTAAATTATATATTTTCTTACAAACAATTTACAGTAGGCCGTCGTATTTGTTCTGTCGGTTTTGTTGTTGGTAATCCATGCAAAAGTAGCTTCCCAGTCTTTGATGTATTTGCACACTCCTCTCTTTCGTTTTAAAGAATTCGAAATCTCGCCGCAGTCACTCTCATCACTCGACGCCATTTTAGGTCAGTCGACACAAGCTACAATACATTTTAAAAATGTGAACTGTACATAATTTTATAATATATTTTTATTTTAATCTCATCATTAATTTTTTCGGAGAATCGAGTTCAATGGATATTCGATCTTTGTCTCATTCTAACTTATGAAAAAAAAGACAAAACGCGATTCTCCTATCCTTATTCTCTTAGACTGTACAGCTTTAGATTACGTACCATTTCATCATAAAGCTTTTGAATAAAAAAAATGTCCACTATTTTGTGCAAAAAAATAGTGAACATAATGTGAAAAAAGCGGACTGTCCGCTCAGATAGTGGACACCTGGCAACTCTATGATGAACGGTTGCAGGAACTGGGCATGGCTAGTCAAGTTAAGAGAAGGACCAGGGGAGATATGAAAGCAATCATATCAACTGAGAATGGAAGAATAGGAAACGATCCAACCCTTTGGCTAGGTCAGGAATTTGAGCCTCTCATTTTCTTCTGGGTGACCTGGATTTTCTAAAAAAGGGGAAACAGCGATACTAATCAGAATTTAATAGTAAAGCATGTTTAATTAGATCAGTTGATGAGTTAGTGACTGATTAGATTGTTTCCCCTTCTCCTGGTCATTTAACATGCTCAATTTCACTCACTTGGTCACCTCTGAGTGTTGAGGAATGTTGTCATTACCATCTATGTTCTTGGTCTAAGAATAGACAGGTAGACCTTGCCAAATTTGTCTAAGGTGCATATAATTCACTGTATAATACTATTTCTTACACTTGAAATAGTAAGTAAAATTGTAATGATTTTCACGCATAGGTTCACACATGCACATATCCATCCATTCATTTTTAAAGGTTGTTTAGCCAACATTAAAGCAGAATTACAATATCTTGGTATTTCATCATTCAGTAATTTTGGATTGTATTTATTTAATTTATTTAATAGTTAAGTTACTTTAGCTTTTTCTAAGCTGCTACTGTTTTCTTTGCATCCTAGTCTTTCTACTGTTTTAGTCTTCCTTCTTTATTCTGCATTTTGCCCTTTTTTCTTTTTAGAAAAATCCTCCATGCTCTGTAATCTTTGTCATGGAAGTGGATTCAATCTTGGCATCTGATTTGAATAATTGTAATCCAGTGCTTTGTGCAAACTCAGAAAATTCAGCAAGTGCATGAAATGGAGTTCATACATCCAACCAATCAGTGGTAGGCTTTAAATTTTTTTACTACTGGTTCTGTGGGTGTGGCTTGGTGGGCATGGCTTGGTGGGCGTGGAAGGGGAAGTTTACTGCAAAATCCCCATTTCCTCCCAATCAGATGGGACTTGGGAGGCAGAGAATAGATGGGGGCGGGGCCAGTCAGAATTTTTACTACCGGTTCTCCGAAATACTCAAAATTTCCGCTACCGGTTCTCCAGAACTGGTCAGAACCTGCTGAAACCCACCTCTGCAACCAACCAATTTGTTCCTTCCTGCAAAAAAACTGGCTCTTCAGATGAATCACCAAATGGGAAAACAGAGTTCAGCCAAACAATCTTTAATCCACAACGGTCGGGTATCAAGGAAAAGCCAAGTACGGATGTAACAAAGTCAGCGCTGAATGTTAGGTTTTGTCAGTGCTTTTTAAAGCAGTGCACTGACCGCGCCCACACCCCACCCACGTACATTTATCTTTCACAGCTGCTCCTCATTTCCTCCTTTCCGAGCCGATAGTACTTCCGCATTTTGAGAGTTGCAGATGGCGTTGCAACTCCGTCTGACGGTTTTGTACAGGCAACCTTGACCCGCAGTCTATGTGTAAGTATTAGCAACCACCACCACCAGAACCCATCAAACCCATCACCACTCCTAACCCGAATGTCTAACAACAATCCCCACTGCCTTTTTGTGGATTTCCCAGCTGGCCTTAGATGCCTCTCCTGCTGACAAACATGTTGAGCTGATGTCGGGCTCGACGGTCTGTCCATTTCTGCGCAGTTAAAGATTTTCAGTAATATTTCCTCTTCAGTTGGAATATCTTTCTCTTTCCATTTTTGAGCGAAGGCTATTTGTGCCACTGTGAGTATATGCAGTAATAAATAATTTGTATCTTTCTTATATTTTCTTTCTATAATTCCCAATAAGAAAATATTTCAGTCTTCTGTGTGGGCGGGAGGCTCCTCACAGTTCCACTATAGATCCATATGTAGGGGCTTATATTATTGTGCGGCAGCTAATCCTGGTGCTCTCAGTGCTGCCCCAGGAACCCATGTGATCTGGCTCCACTCAAAATGTTGGTTTGGGCCTATGAAGCCCTATGTGACTCAGTTCCCATGGTGTCTGCTGCCCAGATTTAGATCTTCTGATGCCTGCTCCCACAGTAGTGTCCAAAATCATCATCATCATCATCATCATCATCATCATCATCATCATCATCATCCCCAAAGGGCTACCCCGCTATTTAGAAATTCTAAATTTACTGGACTTGAACATTTTGACTCTACAAAAAACCACCTTAGTCGGAACAGCTTACATCCTCCGACGATACCTTAACAGTTCCTAGGTCCTTGGTTAGGACTCAAGCTGTTGAGTTATTAACCAGCCTCAAAGGCTGTGAATCTCACTAAAGATTAACCAATCATCATCATCATCATCATCATCATCATCATCATCATCATCATCATCAAGACAGCAATTGCAGCAACATGGCAATCCCCGTCCATCAAGGTTGTATGCATTTGCAAAGAGCATAGCTTCAGCCACATTGCTGCAATTGGCATGTTTGATTCCCCACCACCCAGTCAGAGCTGAAGAAACTTCTTGGATGAGAAGCGAAACATCTTCAAAGAAAGGTCCTGAAAAAGCACCTTTGGGACATCCCTCCTTGTTGATACCAATCCCAAGAGGAGTAAGACGTCTGGTCTGGTGGCACTCCTTTTTAGCGATGGCACATTCTTCCACCCTTTTCAAAGTGAAGATCATATTGCTCCCAATGACTTTGTGGAAATGGGGCATCCTTCTGTGCTGACATTCTTAAGGTTACATTTTGGGGTTCTTTTATGGGACTTGCTTTGTAATGGGCCTTTTTTTGATTTTTAATGTCTGCTTTGCAAACTGCCCAATGGAGAAGGTGGTAGATAAATCTGCATCTAAATAGTTATTTGAATTGGATGCACCGCATGAATACGTGACTCAGAAAATGACTCATTTTCCATTTTCAACTGTATCGGTGCCATTTGCTGTGTGCCTCGGGGAAGGAGGTACGTTGCATCGATGCTGTTTTGTTTTTAGAAAACCGTGACATCCTTGCCTTCCAAAAGCATTCTTAAGTTTGAATTGTGGAACCTGCCAGCTCACACCTTGTGACATTGAAGCTCTCCCTTTTGGCACCCATGTTCATATATAAAATGAAGGTAAATTCACAGCCATGCCAAATGCCAAACTGGAGGAGGAATGGGTAAAGCAAGGTTGGAAGTAATTATGGTTAGCAACTCATCTATACATAGCTTTCCATTTGCACAACCATCTCACAATTTAAGGTAGAGAAGAGAGAGAGAGAGGGAGGGAGGGAGGGAGGGAGAGAGAGAGAGAGAGAGAGAGAGAAATTTTGATCCCTTTTGTTGAATGTTCCTCTGATCAGCCTTCTAACTTACTAAATTTCTTTCTTTCTCTGAAATCCCTTTTAGAAGTAATTATAGGAAATTGAAAAACTGCAATATACTATGTTAGAAATTAAATTCATCAGTAAGACAGTAGCGGGAAGAAGGGGGGAAAAAAAGCAAAGGCAATGAATTAATGAGTTATTATGTTTTATAATCAATTTCTAGAGTGCTGAATGTAGTCTTTACAACTTGGAACATTTATAATGTAGCTGAACATGGATGAAGGATGGCTGGATGTTGGATTGAATCCAAGCTAAGTAAATTAAGCTTTCTCCATGGAAATCACTTTGTCCAGTTAGTCAGTATTTAAATCTCAGTGATTTTAGTGATAACTAATTTCATTTAACTTAGCGGTAACACATTTCACTTAACTTAGTCCACATCGAATTTACTATCTCCTTACACTTCTAAGTATATTTTAATAATGGATACATTCAAAAATAGCACTGACATTTTAAAGCCCTGAATAGCTGAGGTCCAATCACCCAAGAAATCACCTATTTTACACCAGCTTTTTACTTTTCAATCTGTGGAACAGCTTGCCTTCAGAAGTTGTGGGTGCTTCATCACTGGAGGAGACTGGACAATCACTTGTCTGGAATGGTATAGGGCAGTGATGGCTAACCTTTTTGCCGTCACATGCCAAAAGCGGGGGAAGTGTAGGGGGGTGTCACACGCGTGCATACCCACACCCATAATTCAATGTGCCCCGCCCCCCCACGTATGCGCACGTGACACCCCGACGCTCCTGTCGCTTTTGGCACGTGATGGCCCATTGGGCCCGGTAAGCCCATTTTTCGCCCTCCCCACCCTTCCAGAGGCCCTCTGGAGCTGAGCTGAGCTAGGGCAATGCTCGCGTGCCCACCAATATAGTTCCGCATGCCACAGGTGGCACGCGTGCCATAGATTCACCATCATGGGTATAGGGTCTTCTGCTTGAACAAGGATTTGGACTAGATCCAAAGCACCTGAAGGCCAGACAAGGAATAATGGATGAAAACTGATCAAGGAGAGATTCAACCTAGAAATGAGGAGGAACTTTCTGACAGTGAGAACAATCAACCAATGGAACAGAAGTTTCCTTCAGAAGTTGTGGGAGCTTCATCACTTGAGACTTTCAAGAAAAGATTGGACTGACATTTGTCAAAAATGGTGTAGGGTCTCCTGCTTGAGCGGGGGGCTGGACTAGATGACCTATAAGGTCCCTTCCAACTCTGATAATCTGTTAATCTGTAAAACCTCTAAAGTCCCTTCCACCTCTATTCTATTCTAATGAATCCTCCCCTCCCCTCTCCTCCCCTCCTCTCCTCGCCTCCCTCCCCTCCCCTGTCCTCTCAAGATAGATATCAAACTTTGTACATTTCTCTACTTTACTGAATTTATGGCTCCAGTATCCTTGTGAGGACATATCCAGAATCTATTTTTCCCTCCTGGACTGTATTTCAGGAAGGTGGAGAGGCTAGTCATAAGTCAGGAGTTTTTTAAGAAGCTGCTATCTTGGCTCCTCCACCACTTGGAAGGATATGAAAGTGTAGTTCATCTCTAAAAAAGACCAAAAAGAGTATACTTAACTTTTCCCTGAATATGTTTCCCAACAGAGAAACAGTCCTGGGGATAGCAAAATTCTGAGAAGTTTGGCCTGAATTCTTCAGCCAATTCAAGGAAGGTAAGATAAGGGAGAGGGAAGAATTTCAAAACGTTCCTTCCATCATATTTAGCCGAGTGTATCCATTGCTATCAATTTCCCAGGACTGACATCAATGAAAGAAATAAATGCAAGGTTTTTGTGTTCTTCATTTTTCATTTTCCATGAAAGATGGTTGAAAGAGTTGAGCAGATTCTCTCCTGAATACTGAAAATGCCGTAAAAGAATCCAGAGAAATAAAGACAGGTTGAGAGAAGGTTTTTATTTTAGTTTCAGCAAATGTTTTGCACAACAATTTCCCAGAAGGATCAAAAGTCCAGCCAATATTTTTCTTTCTTTCTTTCGAAATAAATGCAACAAGTAATGATGTTCCAGGTTATAGATGGAGGGGTGATATTGGAGATTTATGGCCTTACTGTTTGGTTTATGCAACATTTTCTATCTGAGCTGATATGAAGCTCTTGAGAGAATAATTTGCAGTTGCTCACAGAATTGCTATTTCACAACCTCTGGAGTGTATTGAGATTGACACCTGTCAGAGCTCCATTATGACAATTTCCACTGCTGTTTAAAAGTTACCATTAGCAACCTGTATAATAGTTCCAAACAGGGACATGTTAACCTTTCTGATGTTCAGAAGTTTAACCTTTTACTGCATTTTCCTTATGAATTCAGTTCTTTTGTTTTAATTTCATTTTAAAAACGTCTCACTTCAAAAGTGAATTTTCCCAGAGCTGTTTGTAATATATTTGCAATCTAAATTGGATTTAAAAATTCTTTCAAAGGAGAAGATAATTTGGAAGAAAATCTCATGCAAGATTATGTGTAACCTATTTTGTTATGAGCTGTGTGAATGCCCTTACAATCCTTTCCAGAGGCATTTGAAACCTCTCTGGCCTTCCCACTTTTTCATTAAATCTAAAGAGAGAACACTTCAAAAAAAGCTCTTTCCAAGCTCTTTCCAAGGAACTTTCTTGCCTATGATGCATTTGATGGGCAGAATTGTGAAAGACCACTTATGCTGAGCTGTAGTTCTTGCTTTTTCCTCTTGCCCCTTTTACCCAGTTTACAAAAAAAGGCAGTCCAGCCATCAGCTAACAAGTTGGAAGAGCAGGAAGGTCAAACATAGTGGAAATAGCAGTAGCAGTTAGATTCACATACCATTTCATAGTGCTTTACAGTCCTCTCTAAGTGGTTTATGGAGTAAGCATATGGCTCCTCAATTTACTGACTTCAGAAGGACGGAAGACTGAGTCAATCTTGAGCCGATTAGGACCGAACTCCTGGCTGTGAGCAGAGTTGCCTGCAATACTGTTTTTCCAACCACTGTGCCACCACAGTGTGTGCACATAGCCTCCTTCTCACTATATAATGCTCACTGTTTTTCATACATCATACACAACATTATTATTATTATTTATTTTTCTAAAGGACAAAATGAGTGTCTTTAAGGGTTTCAGATTCTCATTTTGCCTTTTAATTGCCCCCCTCAATTGAAACATATATTTCTGTATATGGAAACGGATTATAGTCTGCCCACTTTGGCTTGCTATGGGATGCTGCCAGTTTGTTAATAGGGGCTGCCCAGTTGTTGATAGTTGGGGCGGGAGGAAAGTTTTTACTTAGAGATGCAGAAAACAAAGATGCTCTCTTTTTCTTGCCGTCTCTTTTTTCTTCTTTGTCTTGAATCAAGTTAGAACCAAGAGAGACGGAATAATAGGGTACCTTGGAGGTCTTTTAAACTGCCTGCCCAAGACAGGAGACCTTATACCATTCTGGACAAATGGACCTCCAAACTTTTTTTGAAAGCTGTTTCTCAACACATCTATTTGTTGTGTACGGGGACCTTTTTTTAGTCAGGTGCTGATCAAAAAACTAGGAGACTGTGAGTTCTAGCACCACCTTAGTCATGAAAGATGACTGAGTGATTTTGGGTCCGTCACTTTCTCGCAGCCCAACCCACCTTACAAGGTTGCTGCTGTGGGGAAAATAGGAGGAGGAAGGGGTATTATGTATGTTTGCCTCAGGGGTGAAATGCTCCCGGTTCGGGCGAGTAGGCAGTTCGGAGAACTGGTAGCAAAAATCCCTGCCCCCGCCCCTCCCATGCCCAGCTGAGCCAGGCGATCATCAGAGGCTTTTTTTCTTTTAAATGCTCTGATGATCAGGCAACTCACCTGGGATCGTCAGAGCCTTTTGAAAACATTTTTTTACATGGTTTTACATGTAAAAAATGGTTTTAAAAGCAAAAAAAAAAAAAAATTGGCCACGCCCACCCAGTCACATTACCCCGCTCCCACTAAGCCACGCCCACAGAACCGGTAGTAACAAATTTTAGATTTCATCACTGGTTTGCCCCCTTCGGTTGTTGATTAAAAAATAATGAAGGTGGGGTAAAAAGTGTAAAACTTAATAAGAAAGGCACTTAATTCTAACTTCAAGGCTTTGACTGTTGGCTTCTAAATGTTGAAGTGATGATGACCTTATCTGAGCTAGAGATAATCTTGGGAATCTCCTGGATCATAATGGCTTGACAATATCTTTAGGTGAAGGATATAAATGTTACATTATGGTGAAGCACTTCTTGTTTTTATTTTTTTGGTTACTAGGATTCATTACACACCAGTCAACTTCTCTATTCTCATATATCTTGGTCAAAAAGTTAACATATATGCAGACTTCCTGCACCAGATTCTGATCTGATTGTATGGAGCTGGGGGTAGATATACCATGGATGATCCCAGCAGAGAGATCTCTGCAGTGTCAACTTGCAAAGCTTTCAAGTTGCCATGAAGTTTCCATCTTTCGGAAACTTGACATACAGGGTGATTCTCAGGGGTGAAATCCAGCAGGTTCTGGAGAACCGGTAGCGGAAATTTTGAGCAGTTCGGAAAACTGGCAGCAGAAATTTTGAGTAGTTTGGAGAACCGGCAAATACCACCTCTGGCTGGCCCCAGAGTGGGGTGGGAATGGAGATTTTGCAATATCCTTCCCCCAGGAGTGGGGTGGGAATGGGGATTTTGCAATATCCTTCCCCCAGGAGTGGGGTGGGAATGGGGATTTTGCAATAACTTTCCCCCAGGAGTGGGGTGGGAATGGAGATTTTGCAGTATCTTTCCCCTACCATGCCCACCAAGCCACGCCCACAGAACCCATAGTAAAAAAAAATTGGATTTCACCACTGATGGTTCTCATTTAGATTGTGTAGGAGGAAAGTCATTGTTAGTCTGTGGTAGTAAAAATATAATCAGCTGAGAAAAGCTTGTGCCCTTTAATAAAATGTGCTCGTTGGAAAAGATGCTACTGGACTCCTGATTTATTGTCCTACTTTGCATGTTAGGTTGTGCTGCTAGTTCTCTTGAACAAAGCGAGATTTACATCTGAATAAAAATGCTCCTTTTACAGTTTATAGGTAATACTGAGCACTACTGAATAATGTATGCATGATTATGACAAAAGTCTCTCTTAAGTAGTGTTTGCCTTTTCCAGGACATTAATATTTAGCTTATATCTGCAGGGTTAGTTGATTGTGGTGGAAAAATGGCCACAGTTGGCCAAGATCGATGCTTTGTGGATTTGTCCTGAAAGAGGCTTGCTGATGTTTTTTTTTTTTTTAAAGGGTATGTGTGAATATATCTGGCTGAAAGGATCTGCCAAGTTCCCTCAGGAAATTACTTAGTCCTTCCACAGAGATAAATGACATTGTCAACACTTAACTGACAAACTGAACAGTATATTGATTAAGGTAATTAATAGTAAGTGAAATCTGCTTGACTCCAAATGTCTTCAGGGAGACCTTCAGGTAGTTTTCCTGGCAAGAATATGGAAGTGGTTTGCTTTTAAATGTCTCCAGGACGCTTATTTTAAATTTGTCTTACGTCCCTTGGATTATCTCGTGGTTTGTCATCTGGCTATTAACCAGGTCCTGCCCTAATTGACTTTTTAGAACTAGTGAACTTCAGCAAGCTACTGCCTTCTACCTAGATAAGGAAATTAAGGCATAGAAATTAAGAAATTAAGGGACTGTACTTTGAAGGGACAGTGTTGTGGCCCGCCAGCGGCCTGTGCAGCTGGTAGCTGATTCCGACAGCGAGGAGTCTGGTGTGGTGATTCGCCAGCAGCCTGTGCAGCTGGCACCCGAGTCAGACAATGAGGAACAGGGGTCTGTTCTAATTTTTTTTACTAGCGGTTCTGTGGGCGTGGCTTATTTTGTGGGCGTGGCTTGATGGTCATGTGACAATTATTTAGGATTTAGCAGAGGTACTGGTCTACCAGAGGTACTGGTCTACCAAAAATAAATACCCATTTATTTTTGCAGGCACTGATCTACTCATGTATTTTTGCAGGCACTGATCTACTCATGTATTTTTGCAGGCACCAGTCTACTCATTTGTTTTCTTTTAACACTGATCAGCTGTAGGGCGGCTCTTTGAAGCCCCGCGGCCAGAGTTTAAACAGGTTTTTTTCCCTCTAGCCATCAGCTGGGACTCAGGAGGCAGCAATAGATTGGGGGTGCGGCCAAATAAATAGATAAGAATAATGCGGGGAACGGGGAGGTGGCAGGGGGGCGGGGGGGCGGAGGGGGCAGAACTGGTTCAGTGACATCATATCGTCACCACTACCAGCTTGGCGGAACCGGGAGGAACCCACCACTGATGAGGAGGCTGGAGAAGATGTGGTGCCAGAGGCGGGGATTCAGCCAGGGCCTTCAGAACCTCCAGAAGCTCCCATAAGTGAAGAGGAAGAAGACGAGGAGCCTCTTCTCAATGCACGGGCGTGCAGAGCTGCCAAAAGGCAGGAATGTCTCCTCAGGAGGAGGTCTCCTCGAGAGTAAGGCTTGGGGCTAATTGGCCACTCCCCTAGCCCTAAAGAATGACGACGACTGAGGCAATTTGTAGAAAACAACTTTGTTCATATTCCTTCGCGTATTGACTCCAGAAACGTCTGATCGGCTCCTGCTTCTCTCTTGTCATTTTTCCTGCAAATTGCTTCTAGGCATTCTGCCAACCATAGTAAGCTTACGG